TTTATACATCAAAATAATGAAGGACAACAAAAAAGTATATTGATTCTGCATTCTTTTCAAAAGGTTTGGGCCGATATTTTTTCTTAAGATCGAAAAACATCTAATTTGTTCAAAAAAAATAAACAAAAGAAAAACAAGCAAAAATGAATTTGTTATATTTGTTTAAATTTCAAAAATTGCATATTGATCACACCTTAGAAAAGATTTCATGGATTGAAGGCGAAGATAAAAACATCATGTGATATCGGTTTATTGATTTCAAAACTAATTTTGTACAATAAATGTGAAAGTTTCACAATCAATCACTTTGAAGGAAGGAAATAGAGCGTATACTTATGAAAAAGTATTTTTGAAATATTTCAATACCGTTCTTTTTTTTTATGACATTCAATGAAAAAACTTGGAGCATCGAATAGTCTCTTCTATTAATCTGCTGATTGTGGACATGATTTTATTGAAATAAATGCCTTATGAAATATTTTCCTCTACACAAACTGCAAATGCCGTGAACTCTGATAATTAAATTTTTTGATACAATTTTTATCAACAAGATATCTTTCAATTCATCACCCAATTATCACTGAATAATTGGGTGCATAGTAAAATAAGCTTTTGCTGGTCTGACCCTGAAGGCTTTTTAACCAAGCCAGCCCTAATGCAAGATCAATAGGAATTTTTTGTACCAAGCCGAATTTTAAGGGATCTAATGAAGGTCCTATTTGATCTTAGGTCAAAATTCTAAAATAATGTAAGACTGGCGTTTATGCACGAAGATGACATTTTTATACTTTCTATCATCATCATTTTCCTGGCGCTACAGCCCATTTCAAAGTTCTGACTAGCCTTGCCATTCATTTTGCGTAAAGAGTTTGGATTTCTTTTTTTCTATTGATAGCCTTGTTTTCGTCTCCTCAATTTTTTCATTCCTTCTACTTCTTTCTCCAGAGGAGATACACACGATAAAAATAACACAACTCAAGAGAACAAGGATTTAAAAATTAAAACTAGTCATTTTCTCCTTCGATATCTTGCTTCCTTAACCGACACCTTATCGGCTAGCGATAGTTGCTCCACGGAGAACAAAGCACGTGGTGGCCATCTATTGCAAATTGGCCTCTACATATAGAGCAATATGGATCAGAAGCCAGCTTGACTCTGTTTAAGTAAACGTCAAGACAATTATGTACTATAAAGAGCAGCAACTGAGCCACCCTCGTGTCGCGGCTAGTCAATATTGCTATTTGACTCGAGATCCTTCCACTTTTTTGTTAGAATTTATTTCCATTAGTTGCTAGCGGAAATTAGTGAAGACTTTTCTTTTGAGAACTCTTTTAAAGGTTGAAAAAGAGGTTGGGTTATTATTGACCTGTAGTATGGAGGTGCCCTTTTTTGGTCAAATCATCAGCCATTTCATTACCTTTAATTCCGCAGTGAAAAGGGATTCATTGTAAGAGCGACTGATTTTCCCAGTTGTTGTAATTTAGTAATAGAGATTTGGCATTTTAATGTATCACCAGAAGAGTAATTTTACCATCTTAGGCTGTTCATTCAGTACCCGCGGGGAGATAAAAGACGAAAAGATTTCAAAACTCCTTAGTACAGGCATTAGGCTGATCAGGAAAATAGGATCCATCGGTAAAAATTCTTAACCAGTGAAGTTCAGGGTATAGGGTTGATCGGCGTATCCTTGCGATATGTTGTAGGACTTAAAAAAGTGCTCCTTGGGACCAATTTAAATTTTAGACGTTGTAAAAACGTACATCAACCGCATTTGACTTTTTTTCTTAAATTTTATATTGAATAATATTCTGCAACTTTATTTACTGGTTTTTATGACAATGTAACTTGATAACTTCATAAATTTTCATTCAATTCGGTTTAAAATTTAACAATTCATGTTATGAGCGCAATTTTTATTACACTTTGATGTGTTTTTGCCTTTATTGTTTTTATAGAATGATTAGCGTTTTTTCTGAAGAAATTTTCACTCAACAATTTGTTAAAAATAATAAAAAATAATGAATAAAAAACCTATGGGCAAAACAATGAACTACCATATTAATAAACATCCTATTCAATTTTTAGGCAGTTCGTATAAAAATTTGAAGAAGTTATGGGGCAATTAAGCAAAGAAATCTGAGTATATTTAAAAGAAATAAGTATACTCTGAAATTCATTTTTAATCATTTTTCATGAATTTGGCGCCGCTTCTAAGGCAGTGTCAAGAGCGATATGCCCCTTTTGCCTTCCGCTAGCTACGCCATTGTATAGTTAACCGATTACCCAATCACCTGATAGTGTTTTGCTTGCAATACGAAACGCAATTGGATAATTCGTGTTTCAGAATAATAATAATTTTAAAAAATGAAGTTCTTTTTTTAAAAAAAAAAACCTATTGTTAGGTATTATAATTTCTAATTATATTTCATTCATACGTCTTAAAAAATCAAAAGAGTTTTTTTCTTACATAAAAAAATCTAATTGATGTCTAGCAACAAGTGAAAAATACTTGGCATTCCAATTCAGTAAATTACAGTGACATTTCGCGCTTTAATACAACTCTTAAGCACGCATGCTCACTTGTTTCAAGAAATGCGATTATGCAGTACAAATATTAACAAATGACTCGCTTTTTGAAAACAAATTAAAGATCGTTATCCCGATTCACTGAGTAACTTTTGAGCACATGTGGGCATTTTTTCTGGCTAAGATCCAACTAAAAATCCATTCTCTCTTATTAATGCCAAAGTGCATTGAATAAGAGCGATTGCATATTTTACACGTATTTTTTTAACCAGGGATGAAGTGTGCTTTGAATAATTTAGCAGCATATGAAACATTAATTTAATGTTTAACCCGGTCGTTTGGAATTTTGTGCAACGCTTCCGGTATCAGAAAAAATAAAGCAAAATATACTAGTGTTACGATGCTAAGGCATCGTTATCAATTTATATCAACTAGTTAATGTCATAATAATTAGGATTAAAGATTAACTACATGCGTTGAAAGATACGGATGAATAGTTTCATGATAAAAGTTCTGACGACTACTATCGCATGTAGAGTGACTGGTGGAATGGTGGTTGGAATTCAGCAATACTGGATAAGAGGGAAGAGAAAAATGTAGCGAATCAAAAACTAAGGGTGAGTTTCGCGACACGGTGCTTCTGGAGCACGCTCCAAATTACTTCAACTTTTAAAAAGTTGAGAGTCACTTGTCAGCTGACTTTCCGAACTATTCGAGTTTATTTCATTTAGCTCTTTAGAGATCTTTATTTTACAAGCTTGTGCTAATTTAGCCTCGAAAATAACGAGAGATAGGATAATGAAAGAGACTAGAAGTTGTCAGATACAAGTCTTAATATTTATATAGAAATTTTTATAAGTATAAAAAATTTTTAATTCAAGAAAGATAAAAACCATTTCATATTTGAACTGCTATAATGATGTAAGTCTCGTTTATGAGTAAAATTAGTTCTAATTAATTTTTTTCTTATTTTATCACACATTATGTTTCTAAGGTGAAATTGACATTTTTTTTACAAGAACAGATGATTGTTTTTTAAGTTAAACGTTTGCTTCGTTATGAACAGAATCGTTCAACAAATCGAGCAGAGAAGGGTGGTAAATCATCTAAAATTAATTTATCTGTTCGTTTTTCATTTTTTTAAAACTATTGTATGTTATTATACAGAATGTAATGTAATTTCTGTTCTGAATTCACAATTTTTAAAATTATGTTCAAAATGAAATATGCAATTTAAAAATAGTATGTTAATATTTCAATGAGGAAAAAACGACAACAACGCAACCAAAATCTTACTAATCTACATTGGGGAGTGTGGTAATAAAAGCATCAAAAACCCATTTGCTTGTTAGTTAAGTACGTATTTTTGTCAGATTACGTAACTTAAATTATGATCTGCATTAATTAGTTACCATTTTAAGTCCCCCTTTCGAACCATTGAAATTGACTCCTAAGTCCATAAAGATCCTATCATCAGATTAAAAATTATTCAGGAAAATTTGTTTTTCTTTTTTTTCTTGCGTACTATACAGCCATAGTTTAAATGAAAATTAAAAATTTTAATTTTCTAAACAATTTTAACTTTTTACTTGAGCATTACGTATGTTGGGTTTTTTTGAAACGTTTTGGTTTTTATTTTGTTCATGACTTGCGTTTCATTTTGTTAATTGTTCCTTGTTTTATTTTTTATCGAATGTTTTTAATGCAAAAGTAATATTTTTATTAGTATAATGTTTGTGTAGCATTGTACTTTAAGACACTAGTAAATCATATGGATTCCGTTTGCTATAAATAACAGAAATAATACACTATAAGTGGAACACGAAAATCAAAACACAATTACTTGCTTGTAAAGCTCTCAGACTCTCACATGAGAAGATATTTCAAGTACTTGCGTGACTAATGAAAATAAGTTATTTTCTACAAAATGACATTGGGCATAAAATAATTAATTATTTTCAGAAGTCTGATTGCATTTTAAGAAAATTGAAGTTCTAAGAGGGTTTTTAAAGAAAATATCGAAATAATGCGAAGAAAATTACTTAAGCAACGTGCACAAATTACTCGATTAAGATATTAATCTATATAAGGAATACCAACTGATTTAAAATCCATTTGAGAAAGTATACAGTTAAAAAAATCACACACGTAATGCTTTTTTGTAAATGGTAAGCTAACCTAAGTTTGCATTTTATTAGTATAAGCTAGACAACATATTCCTCAGTCTCATTACACCAATGTAATTTTATTATAATTGCAGTCAGCAATATTTAAACTTAATTTCTAAAAATTATTTTAAAAATACATGTAATTAAAATTAGCATAATTATTTCTTGAATTTATTTTATGACAGAATTTATTTTATGATATGGCTGTGTATAGTAAATTAATTAAATGAAAAAAAATTAGTGCAAGCAAGCTTCAACTAAAAAACCATAAATGAATTTTTAAAAATTTCTAAAATAAGAACTTGCCTGATGGTTGACTTTTTTGAATTTGGCAAAATCAACTTCGGGCAATGATTCCTGGAAAAAAAGAATTATTATCAATGAATTATGATAATAAGTAGAACTATAAAAATTAGAAAATGTAACACTTTAAAAAGTCTTTAGAAAATAATATTTATTATCATTTTATGCTTTTCGAGAAATTCGTAAAACTAAATAAATGCATGACTACTGACATCGATGCTCTGAAACACTAATGTTTTCTGCAATTTTCTTGAAATATTAAATTTTTAAATAAAATGTCAAAAGTTGCAGAATTTTTTATCGTAATTTAATTTTTCTTTATGATTTAAACATTATATAATAAATTTTTTAATTTGTTTTTTAAATTTCAAAAGAGTTGTTGAAATATTTTTTTTTCATATGCGAGAAACTTTTGCGCAGTTTTTGCATTTTTTCAGCAATGAAAATAAGTGGAAATATTTAAAATTTCAGAATGATCGAATTAAACTTGCAAATATAAATTAAATGCAAAAAATAAAATTTTTATTAAAAACAATTATGAGTGTTTTAAAATTGTTATCACTGAATAAATAGTTCATTCGGTTACTGTAAATTTTTAAATTGTACAGAATACTACAAATTACTACAGTATTTGTAAAACCATTATAAATACTAGTAAAATAAAAATGAAAATTATTAGCAAACTCTCAAATAAAAAATTGTTGTAGTGCTAAAATTGTGTTTTTCCATAACAATACATTTATTTATTTATACTATACAAAACAATTTATGTACAAAAACATTGTTGTTTATTTGTTATACTATACATTGTTGTTTATTACAAAGAATGAATCGATGAATAATGTTCTAAAATTCATTGTTATTGTAATAGAAATTCATTTTCTAATTATTTTTCATATCATTTTGGTATTACTTGAATATGAAGCAATACCTAACTTAACTGTGCCTAAAAAGTAAAATGTGGAACCTGAAAAATTATTTTAATGGAATACATTACAGAGCACATAGATAAAATTTTCTTTCTTAGAATTGAAATATTTAGGGACTGAAAACTAGAAAAAACCTTGCCTAAATTAAAACTGATCTGATATAAAGATCTATTAAACTCAATTACAAATGAGCTATAATTAATAAAAATATAAATAATAAAATACCCCTAATCAACTTTCCTACGCTCTTGGAAATTTCTAAAAAAAAAAAATAGTTAAAAAATAGTTTTTAATTTTAATTTTACCTCATTCAAACAAAACAGTCAAATAACCATAAAAAAGATAGTATTCGAACTATTAATTGCGAGAAAAATAGTTTATTGACTATTTTCACCTAATACGGTAAAACAACCAGATTTTAATACGTGGCAAATAGGCCCACAGCTAATGAGAATTAACGCACGTTCTTAGAAAACTTAGATGCTAAGCCATGTCATCAGAGCCTGACTAAGGCAGGGACATGCGTGGCAGTTGTCCCGGGCTCCCACATTAGAGGGGGCCCCTAAATCGAGTAGAAAATTTCTTTTATGCTACATTCTTTAATGAACTTTTTTTTAAAAAAGAATATCACTACAATGTAAAATCCGTCAGTTTTATGTTAGCTTCTTCATTAATCTATCGTATGGACACAATCTATACTTCGTATATCTATGGCTTTCTAAGACAGAATTCAGCTAAATTTTCGCAATTACAATTGACAAATTTGCCCAATCAGAAGCCTGTATATTTACATATAGCAAAATGCGATATGTTTGCAAAAATACAGGCTTCTGATTGACTTAATTGAGCCATCGTAATTGCGTAAATTTAGCCCTAATGTTAGCAAGGATATCAATTTTTCGCAGCTAGATGAAGTTTTTGCCCCGGGCTCCAATTACTCTCAGTCGGACCCTGCATGTCATATGGATTACAAATTCATATCCTTATTTTCCCTCACCTAATGTATAATACAACAGCGGATGCGTAATAATAAAATTGTAATATGCGCGTGGTGAATACCTTATGAAGCTACGTTGTTCCTTACAGCTGGGTTTCTAAATTTCTTAAACGCATGAAAAGTTTCCAGTATCCTACACTCCTCAATGGATAACTTCGAATTATAGGAAAATCAAAGACTTATTCACGCATTGATGGCAGCATCACATAGTTCCTTAATAAATGAATAAAAAAGTATTTTTTATCTTTCACGATTGATTGCACCACTAGATAAACCAATGAAACCCCATTCCACAATTAACTTAGCAAAATATAACTCCACAACAAATTAACTCCAAGGTACATTTCCTCCGAAAATACATACATGTATGGCAAAAGAAAGATCAAAATATACGATGATAAAATTTTATTTAAATATAATTTCTCAAAGAGAGGCAAAAGGGCATGAATGTTAGCTTCAAATGTTTAATCAAAGTGTTTTAAATGTACTTGACTCAGATATATTAAACTATGGTGACTATTTTTATCCATCATATATGAGGGAAGTAAGATTTCTTATAATATACACCGAGCATATAAACCGAGGGTTGTAATGAACACAGAAGCGCGTGTATGTGTGAGTAGCAATAAATAAATAAATATGAATAAATAGATCTATCCAGGATTGCGGAGAAATTCGAAACCGCTACTTCTAAGCTTCCATTTTAGAAAGTTGGCACAGTCCTTATGCGCAACAGTTAAACTACTGATTTAGTTTAGCCCTGTCCAGGCATTTGTACATTCGCAAATGCGTATTTTTTATAGTTTCAAAGGTTGGTATATGTTAACTTATAGTTCATAAAAAAAGACATGAAACAGAGTTAACAAGTGTTTACTAAATAAAATAGAAGTTATCGAACTGAACGATTTTGCATCATCTCAAACTAGTACACTAAAACTGTTAAAATTACCGACTTTCGATTAAAAAGATTAAATTTTGTAACATTTGCTACCAAACATCATGGTAATAAAATCCATATTTTTCTGTTATTTTTTCCAAAAGGTTTTTCCGAAGTGTTTCGTTAAAAATCACCGTGATTTTTGGTATTCCCATAGATCCAGAAACACAGTAAATTTGTCCATATTCTTGTAGTTTTAATCATATTTTTTCTCAGTGTAGAAAGAGTTTTATCCAATAAATTATTAAAGGAATATTTTTGCCAACGTTTCTAATTCCTCTAATCTATAATAAAAACACCTTTATCTCAGTGCAGAAAGAGTTCATCATGTAAATTATAAAAGGAATATTTTTGCCAAAATTTCTGATTCCTTCAACCTATGATAAAAACACCTTTATGTTATAGGCGTGCCTAGAGGACACACCTAAAAGCAAACAAAGACCAATTTAGAATATTAAGTAGATCTTGCATTTTAATGAAGTAAAAGCTTGGACTCATTTGTTCAATTAGCTCTAAAAGTAGGCAACAAAAAAAAAGATTAAATATCGAATAACCTAGATGCATATAGACAATAAATTAAACGATGTCACGATGTCCATCTTGTTTTTATATTTACAATAAACATTCATCAACATTGCAAACATTTGCAATAAAAGCATTTTCTTATGAAAATCTGTATAATAATAATATTTAGCACTAACGATTTAATTTATTAAAGGACTTATGGAAGGAAAGGAACTACAATAAAGAAATTTGTAAGAAAAAAAATCATTTCTTTCTATTAAGTTCTGTATTCTTAAATATCGCTTAATTATATGTCTGTATATATATACATATATANGTATATATATTGAGTGTATGATTGAAACACAAACAGTGCGAGGTTAAAAGGAAGTTTTCTACTGACACGCTAAAAAAATTAACAAAAAAAATGAAAAAATGCTTGAGAAAATTCTTTATTCATGAGAAGACTTCGCATTTTTAAGATTTGATTTTTCAGTAACCATTTTATCGATTTCGCTCAAATTTTGTATTCTGCCATGTAAAATTACGTTCCTTAAACTAATTTAAAAAATTGTCATCTTGCAATTCAAAAGTTTTTCGACTATTATTACATAAAATATAATAAATATTTACTAAAAGTTCATTTTTGCATGGAATTTCCTACGGATAAACGAATCTTAACTGTGTGGAATTTTTTTTTATAATTCGCTGAAAATGTTCTTGAGATGTGACGAAATACTCAAAAAATAAAACTAACATTAAAGGGTTCAAACTTTGGGCCACTCTCCTAACTAAACTATTGAGAACATGTTTCTCAAATTGTGGTTATCTCCTATATTTGTGGGAGGTATAAATCCGAATCCGTCAAAAAAAAAAAGGTATGTTCATTCTAAAAAAGTAAGTTTTATGCGTCTGATTGCGTAGCTAAAACATTAGCGACGCACTTAATAATTAGCATATTTAAGTTCTTCCCCTCAAACTGATAAAATTGAGCCCTTGAACGTGAAGATGCGACCATTAGATCAAAAGTCATTCAGAGTAATCAGATTGTTGTTGTTTTCATAGCACGTTACTCTATACGTCTCAGGTGAGAAGCCAACATTGCAGCTGGCAAAAGTTCTTTAGAACAATATCTTTAAGCATCTCTGCAAATACATCCATTACATCTTTTCTTTCGAGAAAATTATTTGTAAGACAATCATTTTGCCATGAAGAAACAATTTCTGAAACATCTTTCCCCATTCTTGAGTAAATTCTTTAAATGTGGCAGTGGGAAATCACTTTTTAACTTCTGCTTGTGAATCGATCGTATATTCTATGACAAATATTGTTCATGAAGTTGCATTCGACCTCCCAGGAAAGTTTTGCCATTTTGTTCAGACTCACTCTGTATGTATCTTATAATTATTACACCAAAAAATTTGCTTTCAAATAACCTAATTCATTTAATTATGTACTTAATTTAGAATATATATGCATTAGATTATTAATTTCGTATTCTGAAAATAATCGTGTAATATAGTAATTCTGAATGATCTTCGTTATAATATTCTATTATTTTGTAATTAATTTTTTGTAGCTCTTAATCTTCTTCGATTCACTTTGTCATGTTTTCAATATGTTTAAAAAATGTCAGTGATAACTGATTACTCATTATAACCATATTTTAAAGACTTACTTAATAAAAAAATGTAAATTTCTGAAAAAAGCAGTTTGGTTAAAAGAAGAATAATTGAGAAATGACTTATGCATTAGTGTACAAAAGTCATATTTTAACTCTAATGGGTCATAATTACGGAGCAATCTATATATACAGCGAACGAACTCTTCTAGAATACTTTATACTACAATCATATAAAAAGTCTAATCGAATCACACACACAATAAAAAACACACAATAACAATTTAACACACAATAAAAAACACAAACTTGAAGAAAGTTATACTGAAGCTTGACTACATTGTCAAAATATGAGTTGCTCATACTTTATGGAATTTTTACTTTTCATTACCATAATATTGCGTCAAACAATATAACTTAGATAACTTAATCTAAATGCACTTATTATTTTCCCAAAAAAAAACTTCAAGTTATTAGGCTTTAACAAACATGTATTGTAAGCTTTTAACTAAAAAAAGCTTTGTTATATCATTGAAGCACAACGACTAACCAAAATTCAAATTAAGTGCGTATGATCGAATAAATTCCGAATATCACAATGATTTGAGCCCAAGAAAATGACTAGACTACAAAATGACTAGACTTTGTGCACTTCCACCATAAGCGATTTTAAATAAGTTTTAAAAAATTTAAAGAAATTTTAAAATGCACTGAGGTGATATAGTATTGAGAAATTAATTTCGACAAAAATTTTTTTGATTTCTCTCAAAAATCACAAGATTGAAAAAAAAAACTATTGTAAATATTAACGAATTACAGATCAAACAATTCGATCTCTCTAAGACGAGTATTTTACTTTTGAGAGTGTTTGTAATATTATCAAGCGAAAGACTTTTTTTTTCTCTTTGCCTTGATTATTTCTAGTTTTTTAATGAAAAAAAAATAAAAAAACTGTTCAAGAAAGTAGCTAAGTTTTAGCTAAAAAATTCTGAAAATGACAGAATATTTTCAACTGAGTAATACTTTACAAACTTCTACATTACTTCATAATGAAATACGTTTTCGAACGTGTAGCAATATAAATACTAACTTATAGTAAAATACTTTTTTTTCTTACTACTTCTCCTGTAGAATTAGAAATACTACGGTAGTAACATACATATCAGCATAATATAAATACCAATAATAATAATATATTACCAATATTGTATTTTTAAGAAGTAATATTTTTTTCCAATGCCCACTTTTTAGAATGACCCACCTGGGCATCTGAAGGGCAGATTTGTTGAACACTCTTTTCAGGGGCACCATATTAGGTGGGCCAACGTTGCTCCCACAATGTAGACAGATAGTACAGAGAAGTACTATCTGTCCTTAATAATTTGTGAGAAGTAATATAATTTGTGTTAAATTTTAAATGAAGTTTGATAACCGAGAATCATTACTTTTAAATTTTATTCCAATAAAAACTGGAACGAAATCTGTGGATAACCAAATCTGTGTTAATACAATAAAACAATTTAGGATTTTTTTTCATGATGTGAATCAGAGGCTCTTTGTGTCACATTATATGATAATGATTTAAATACATCTCCAATTTTCAATTTAAATATATATATACATATTTATTTTCAAAATATGATTATGGAATTTTGTTATTCGCTTACTTTGGCATCAAATTGAAATTCGCTATCATCACTAGGCCTTTTTTGCAAAGTTTTCAAACTGCCAGAACGCAACAGTCTTTTCTGTCCTACTGTTCTGCTTCTGGCTGAGCTGATATCAGCATCACGAAAAGGGGTGATACCACCACCTCTATCAGTATCCCTGAGATTTGCAGTTTGCTGCCTTAAATTGTTTTGATTTGACACTATATCCAATGTGTTGGCAACAATTTCTTCAATTTCATCGTCAATGGAACTGTTTGCTTTGCTGTTTCGTGACACTGGTGTTACAGTCCTTGTAACACCAACATGGTTTTCTTTAAAATGAGAACAGCAAGAATCCGTTGGTTTCTGGAGATTTTCTTCTTGCACAGAACTTGGGCTTGTTTTCCGACTTAGTACAGAGGATGATGTCTTTGGTCTTTCGAGGTTCATTGATATGGGGGTAGTTGGACGGCTTGAAGTTGATCCACCGATTCCCATGGCGCATATTATTGTTCCATTTCTGAAAATCAAATAAGAAAAAAATATCTATAAACACTTAAAGGTAAAACACTATCAAAATTAATAATTAAAAGAACAACATAAAAAGAGTAATAGCATATATTTATTTTTGAAATTATAAAAAATAACATTTTTGTTTTCCTGCTCAGAATATAGAATACCATGTATAGAAAGTAATATTAAAATTCTTTCATTTTCGACTTAATTTGCCTGACTGCGNAAACACTTAAAGGTAAAACACTATCAAAATTAATAATTAAAAGAACAACATAAAAAGAGTAATAGCATATATTTATTTTTGAAATTATGAAAAATAACATTTTTGTTTTCCTGCTCAGAATATAGAATACCATGTACAGAAAGTATTATTAAAATTCTTTCAGTTTCGATTTAATTTGCCTGACTGCGAAAATAAAATTAACTTCTTTTTTAGAAATGTCTTACTTTTTAATATACAAATGAACTGCGGATACGAAACTGCGTGTACGAAACCATGGAACATAGATATTTCTAATGAAAATATGGATAGCATCAGAAATACAATAGCAGTAGCGCCATTTTTCAAGATAATAGAAAGTTGCAAGAGGTAAGTCATCACAAATCGCATAGGACTAATTAACCGATTCACGTGAGAGCATTTAAAATGAATGTAAAGTTGTATTAAAGATGCGTGCTTCCAATATAGACCAACGTGCAGAAATATGGTTTTTGGTGACAGAAGATGGTTCTATATGTGCATTTTCTTGCCTAATGATGACTGTTTAAGTCTAGCACTGTCTAGCACATATGAATGTTTACATATGTTTTAGAACTTTATTGTGCTTATCGAGCATCAATATCGGATCATCCAAAAAAAAAAACAGAGGCAAGAAAATGCCGGGCTTTGCCCAGAATGGAGTGGTCACCTTCTACAACAAAACATTACTACTGCAGCGCTTTCGTTTGTTCTGGGCTCATCCTTCTTGCCACAACTTTACATTCTCTTAAAATGCTTTCATTGGAATTGGGTAATCAGCTAACCGCTAATCGGGTGCATTCTTCTTAGCTTACTAAATAACCCTGAAAAGTAGCGCTGCTCTAACTTCACTTTATTTTTGACTACCACGTGTGTCCTATCTAAGATCTTGTACTATTAAAAATTCAATTTTTCAACCTAATAACCTCATTACAAAAATCAATTGTGCAAAACTGATTCAAAATATTTCCGAAACAAATATTAGTCGAATTTGGAAACCCAATGTATTAAAAATTGAAAGTACTTGTACTCAGTTTTGAGCAAAGTGCATTGTCAAAAACGTGATGTGGAGGAAGAAATGTGTGAGAGAGATATTAGTTGACTGCTGACAGTTAATGAACATCTCTGCATGCATTTCGAATCTCTGCATACACGAATGCGCATTTTTCTCAAAAATGAGTACATGCTGTTTCAATTTTTAATACATAGGGTTTCTGAATTCGACTATTATTTGTTTCTGAGCTATTTTTATACATTTCTTTTTATAGTGCATCGTTTTTGAGTGCATATTTTTAATACTGATCAAATATTGTAATTAACTTTTATTTTATTTTATGCTCAACCTTGCCATTCAATAGATTAGAGAAAGCATTTTATCAAAACGAAATTCCATGACTACTCTCTCAAACTCATGAAAATTTCTCAAAAATTAGAGCAAAATAAAAAATTTAAAAACTTGCAGCTAGGCATATTCGGAACATGATTTTTAATATTTTTTTTAGTGTATTTAAAATTACTCCAGTTTTTATCATTCTAAATGTATTCATAAAGCAGTGATAACAAGACACTTTTTATAATAACTGAAAATCGATAAAATAAAAACAATACCGATCATTAGTAAGAAAAAAAAATCATGTTAAATATAAGTGATATTATTTTCTGATTTTTAATCTACTCGTAAAATATTTTTTATGTTTTAACTTTAATTTTATTTTAATTTTTCGTTTTGTATGTGCTGATTAGTTTAACTTCAATAGTGGTAGAAATTTTGATTGGCGATTAAGTGGAGAAAAAAATACTGCATGTTGTGGTCAAGGAACAATTGAAATTAACATTATCGTCAAGCATGAAAATGAAGAAGAGATTTGAGTGTTCTACTTGTCAAAAAGTAATTGAAATCACGATTGGGAAATTTCACACAAACAGACACGAAAGCAAGTTAAAATAGTGAATGCCGTATGCAGCTCTCACGTAAAGCAAAATTTCAATTACGATTTATGAGATAATTAATGCAGATAAACTATTGTCATCGACGTGTTGTATTGTAGCCCTTGCACGGGAACAACAACAACTAACAAAGAGTTTTTCACTTTTTATCTTTCGTTTCAAACATTTCATTAGGGATTCACCCAAAGACCTTGAAAAAAATCGATATCGATGTTTTCACCTTAAAAACATAAAATATAGGTAAAAGCGTCATTATATATGAAGCCAAGAACTAGTCGAACAATAGAGGATACTGGAAATGTTATGCTTATTTGCATGATGATATGCATTTGGAAATATCAGCCAATTACTATAAACTGCTCTAAAATATTATGTATTTGAAATGATTTAAAGTTTTGTTTATGATATAAATGATTGATAAGTTAAAATGAATGAAAATCAATGAAGAGCTATGAATATGAAATGAGTTGCTAAATGTCGTGATGCTCTTTCGAAGGTGCATTTTGAACAGCGGTTTTAAATAAATGAACTTTGATCTAAAATATTAAAGATATGAGATTATGGAAAAAGAAATTAAGAGGAAAAAATATTGATAAAAAGATAATGCGATATGATAGAATAATATTCCGGTTTAAATTACTTTTTCATTTTCATATCCATTGCTTAGAGACGAAAATTAAAATTGAATTTTAGTCTTAAAACACAAGATAAACAACGTAAAATACACGATAAGCAATGCACACGATAAACAATGTAACAAATTATAAAAAAATGAAGAAAATAAAGCAGTGCTAAAAATATAATGCAATATAATAGAATAATATTCTGGTTTTAATTTATTTATTTTTTTGAAGAATATCCATTGCTTGGCGATGTAAATTAAAACTTTAAATACACTGTTAGAATTTTTGGAATAAATTTACCATAACATTTTTCACATTTGTTGTAACTTTCGTGTAATTTTAAGTTGAACGATATGAAAATCAATAAAAATTAAATGAAAATCAATGAAGGTATGAATATGAAATGAGTTGTTAAATATCGTTAAGCAGTTTCGATGGGGCATTTAGAATAGCGTGTTAAATAAATAAACTTTGATCATAAAATATTTAGGATATGCTAAAATAATGTTAAAATTATCAAAACAAACTGAAAATATGAAACAGTGCTTAAAAGATAATGCAATAAGATAGAATAATATTCTGATTTTATTTGCTTTGTCGTTGAGAATAGCCATTGTTTAGCGATGTAAACTATAACTAAGTACACTGTTAGTCAATTTGGAATTATGTTGAAAATTAGGCTAATGAAAAAAATTGTTGCAACTTTATAGTGATATGTTGAATGAAATGAAAAACAAAGCTATGAAAATGAAATAAATTGTCAAATGTTGTGATAAACTTTTGTTGATGTATTTAGAATATCATCTATAAATAAACTTTGATCTTAAAATATCAAAGATATGCGCATAACAATATTATTTATAATGTTACAAATTTTAGGAAATAAAATAATAAAGTTACAAATTATAAAAACACAGGTTAAAAATTAAAAACAAATCGTTGAAAACTAAATTGAAACAGATAGAGAAGAAGAAATTTTTTTAATGAATTTATATTTTTGCAAAAAATAATTCTGAACATCCTTGATTATTTTTGAAAACTTTGATGGATAATTTTTTGGAGGAAACAGGGAGGACTTGAAAAAATGAGCATAAGAAGCGCTTTCAAGTTTCAATGGCCAATCAAACAGGTTTTGATATTTTGTGTAGGCTCTTTTTTATCAACAGTGGTGTGTCCGTTTTTGATTTTTATTTCTTTAACCCTTAGCTGTAACAACTTATGTGTAGCCTTTTTTGTTTTCATTTTCAACAAATATTTTAAAAACGTAAGTTAAGGGGGATCAATAAGAAACAACTTGCAAAAAAAAGAGAGAAAAAAAAACAAGGTGAACAAAATGGTTTCTATACTACCAAATTTTAGTGTAATGACACAAACTTTTGTCTTTTTTTTTTTCCTTTAAATTTTTTTTTATTTTTTTTTTATTTTAGCTTGGTTTCTATAAAAAAAACGTTTGATTTCTATTCCTTAAAAATAATATCAGTTTGCAAATAAAGCACTTTAAACAGCTTATTTATTGGTATTTTTATTCCTGCAAAATACGTTATCAGTTACTAACATAAATCTCTAACAGCCACCTTAAACATGTGATCGGCTTTATTTCTATATAGAATTTTTTTTTTTTAAATTGAAAGCATAATTTTTATTGCTTTGAAGGAGCAAATATTTCCATTTTGATAATAGTACGTATATCATCTCTGCTTTATACTTTATACTTTTTAATTAAACATGAAAATACGAAAAAGAAGTAATTTATAGTTTCCATGTCATTGTTCCTTCTACCCTCGGTTAATAAATAAAATAGTTCTATCAGCAATATAAATAAACTGTTTTGGTGTATGTACTAAAAAATTTCATTTCACAATTTTATGCCACTGATAGAATTAAATATCGAAAAGGTATTTATCTTATTGATCTGTTGACTTATTGTAAAAAAATTTTACACCTTGGAAGTCACAAATTAATGTTAAACCGAGGGAAATAAGGCCATTGAAACTTATGAAATTACTACTGATGAAAGCGAGACTGAAAATATAAAAATTTGTTTGGTTGCCGGATGAAACAGAAAAAAGTTGAAGGACCAAGAGTAATTCTCCCCATATTTCTTTCTAGTGAAACGACATATTTTTATAGCGTTGTTGTTTTTTTTCCTCTTTTTTTTTAATATTAAATTGTGATCCCAAATCATACATTTTTCTT